TGGGAAAAAGTGTAGAGATGACAAATGTACAAAACCTTGTTCATGGCAGGGAAACGAAACCAGCAAAGAATAGAGGCGACTTATTCTTTGCCTCAAGTTTCACGTCGCCTGTTCGTTCGTGACCGTAGAACAAACCTTTCATTCTTGGTCGATACCGGCTCTGACGTGTCCTTACTTCCAGCAAATAATTCTCAAAAACGGAATTCGTCCCAACAAACACTTTTCGCTGCTAATTCTTCTACTATTCATGTTTATGGTCAAAAAACACTTTCTTTGGATTTCAAATTAAGACGACAGTTTACATGGACTTTTCTTATAGCAAATGTTAGTACACCCATTCTTGGAGCAGATTTTCTCCATTTCTTTGAATTGGTGCCTGATCTCAGAAACAAATGTCTCAAAGATTTAAAAACGCATTTTAAAACCGTCGGTTGCGTGAAAAATGCAAGCATTTATTCAGTAAAAACTGTATTTAGTGATACACCATATCACAAAATTTTAAAAGAATTTCCTTCAGTTACTAGATTACCAGATCCTAACCAACCTGTTAAACATAACACCGTTCATTATATCATAACTAAAGGTCCACCTGTGGTTGCAAAACCTCGTCGGTTAGCTCCAGATCGCTTAAAAATAGCAAAACAAGAATTTCAAACTATGATGCAATTGGGGCATTTGAGACCTTCGAGCAGCAATTATGCATCCCCACTTCACATGGTTCCAAAAAAGGGAAGTCTGGAATGGAGACCTGTAGGAGATTATCGAGCATTGAACGCTCAAACAATAAAAGACAAATACCCTATTCCATGTTTAGCCGATTTTACTGCTGCATTGCACGGTACTAAAATTTTTAGTCATGTCGACCTGATTAAGGCATACCATCAAATACCAATTAACCCAGCCGACATCCACAAAACCGCCATATGCACACCATTCGGTTTATTCGAAAGTATCCGTATGCAATTCGGCTTATGCAATGCATCTGCGACTTTTCAACGTTTTATAGATGAAGTCACGCGGGATTTAGAAGGCGTTTACGCTTTTGTCGATGACTTGCTCATAGCCTCTAAAGATTCTGAGGAACATTGCAGGCATTTGAAAGCTTTATTTTCCAAACTTCAGGAATATGGACTTTGCATAAATGTTTCAAAATGCACCTTTGGTCAAACATCTATTGATTTCTTAGGTTTTCACCTTAGTGAAAACGGAATTGAACCTCTTCCTGACAAAGTCAAATGTATTTTAGATTTTCCTCAACCTACCACTCTCACTCAGCTTCGCCGATTTTTAGGCATGTTTAACTTTTATAGATGTTTCATACCTAAAGCAGCACATATTTCTTCTCCTTTAATAAAATTGTTAGAAGGCTATATTAATAAAAAGAAATCTCGTTCTCGTGTTCAGGATTCATCCCCACAATTAAATTGGAACGAGAATGCTGAACAAGCCTTTATTGCTGCCAAAAATGCCATTGCTCAGGCTACCCTTTTGAGACACCCTATTCCCGGAGCCCAGCTAAGCATCTGGGTAGATGCCTCAGACGTCGCAATCGGCGGCACACTTATGCAGTTGTCTCAACAAACATGGGAACCTATAGCATTTTTCTCTATATGAAACTCAATAAAAGTCAACAGAAATGGTCCGCGTACGATAGGGAATTATTTTCTATTTATTCTGCAATTAAGAAATTCCGACACATGTTAGAGGGCAGAAATTTTATAATTTATACGGATCAAAAACCGTTAATATACGCTTTTAAACAGAACCCTCATAAATGTTCACCTCGACAATTGCGCCATTTAGATTTTATTTCTCAGTACTCTACTGATATTAGGCATGTGCAAGGTTCAAAAAACGTCGTTGCTGACGCTCTTTCAAGAATCGAAATTGATTCCATAACAAAATCTCCATTTTTGGATTTTAAAAAATTTTCGGAAGCTCAACGGCATGATCCGGAGGTACAAGACCTTCTCAAAAACAACACATCATCTTTGAAACTGGAATTTAAACCGTGCCAATATTCTGATGGTAATATTCTTTGTGACATATCAACAGACATTCCTCGTCCATTTGTTCCGAATTCCTTTCGCAGACTCATCTTTAATCATCTGCATAATCTGTCACATCCAGGAATTGCAGCTACTACGAAGCTTATTTGTTCTCGTTATGTATGGCCCGATATGAAACGTCATATCAAAAATTGGGTGAAATCCTGTGAATCTTGCCAAAAATCGAAAATTACTAGGCATACTAAAGCACCACTGGGCACATTCTCTCTTCCTGATGCACGTTTTTCAGAAATCCATATGGATATCGTCGGACCGTTACCTCCATCAGAAGGCAACGTGTACCTTTTGACTCTAATAGATAGATTCTCCAGATGGCCTGAAGCCATTCCCATCCCGGATATGAAAACGGAAACCATTTGCAGAGCCATCTTCAACTGTTGGATATCTCGTTTTGGCTGCCCATCGATCATAACAACAGACCAAGGTTCTCAAATGAGATCCGCACTTTTTGCAGAATTCACGCGCATTTTGGGTACGAACAGAATCACAACAACAGCCTATCATCCAATGTCCAAACGGCATTGTTGAACGATTTCATCGACATTTAAAATCTTCTCTCAAGGCTCACGAGACCAATAACTGGACTGAAACACTACCAGTTGTTATGCTTGGTATTCGGACAGCCGTAAAGGAAGATCTACAGTCATCTTGTGCTGAACTGGTGTACGGCACAACTCTCAAGCTGCCTAGTGATATGATAACGTCATCTAAGATATCTCCGTATGACACACAATTTATCACGAATCTTAGGCATAGAATGCAACAATTGAATCCAATAGCAACATCTGCACATTGCCAAGAAAAATGTTACGTAAGTGCTACCTTAAAGTCGTGTACGCATGTATACTTACGTGTCGATCGAGTAAAGCCACCTCTGTGCCAACCATATACAGGTCCGCATAAAGTCCTTTCTAGAACGGACAAAACTTTCACAATTGATATTAACGGTCTGAAATCTACTGTGTCTATAGACCGTGTGAAACCAGCCTATTTGCTTTCGGACTCTAATTTGCCTGAACTGAAAACAAATAAAGACTTAAAGACAGTTCAGCAGAATAAATCTGCAAACGAACTCTCTAAGACACAAACTGTCACCAGATCGGGAAGACATGTTCACTTCCCTAAGAAACTTGCTTCTTACATAACAATTTAAAACATTTTTTTTAAATTCATATCTTAACATATTTCTTGTTATTTCATGTTTATTATATGTGTCAATACCTTGTTATATATTGAATTGCATTTTGATCTTTTCTAATTTTATATTCTAATTTTGTAATCATAAAAAAAAATACCCGACAGCACGGATACTCTGAGATAATTTCATAACCTATGTCGTTCCTTTGAATAGCCATTAAAGGAACTGGGGGGAAACTCTGTGGTGATGGCGATAAGGAGCGCGCCTTGCGCCCTCCGATAAGTGTGGCAACCCTAGAGGAGAAGTTTCTTACGAGTAGCGAGCAGAGCGAAACAGGCAGGCTGTCGGGCAGTGTGCGCGAAGTTCCTAAATAAAGCTTAATTTTTATTGTGCACTACTATGTCTTGTTAATATTATATTAATGCAGTAAGAACATAATCTGTGATATGGAATTCGAGGATTGGTGGTAAAACATAACCGGAAATTTCCATAAGAAACCCATTCTAAAGCTGTAAATAAACATGGCTGCTATAGTAATAAAAAATTAGGCTTGGCCACACATAAAAAAAATTTTAATTTTTAATAATTCCAAATTGATTGAATGCAGGTTAACTAAAGGCATAAAAGTCTAACCAGAACAACGTAATTCAATCATTTTTAAAGCACAAAATGCACAATTTTCAAACATATAAGAATAAAGAAACTGAGTTTACTGAGCTGAGTAACAGAGTATATATATGTGTGTATTTACGTATATGATTTTGGTGCGGCCGATTGCAACAAAAATGTGAGGTTCACATTTACATATTATAGCAGTCCTATATACAAAATGTCAACGTTCTGAGCCTATTTGTTTTTGAGTTACGTACGTACGTACATACAGGCACCACGAAAAAATCTCTTCAGAATTCATTTTAAATTAGTTTTATATTTTTGTGTGGAAAATGAGTCCTTTATTCTGTCCTTACGTACAGATGTCACGCAAAAGATTGTTAAATAGCATTCGATAGCAGTTAAAATGGATTTTTTCATTGACATATGACACCCGAAATTTTTTGAGATTACGATTCTTCATTTTTACTTCGTACAAGAAAATAAAAAGCAGCCAAGGTGTTTTTTTAGAAAAAGCTGCAGCTGGGAAGAAGAGTAAAAGAAAATAAAAAAAATGTAAGTATTGAGTTCAGAGATAAAACTTTTGTCAGTAAACTGGAAAATGGAAATGTTTGATATCGAAGTTTAAGTTTAGAAACTATGTTTACATGAATTTTGTATAATTAAATAAATTAATTAAAAAATAATTATATTTTTAAATTATATTTTTATATGTGTGATAGATGGGCAAAATTAGAAATTAAAAATAGCTGAATTTTGTGTAATTAAATAAATTAATTAAAAAAAATAATTATATTTTTTAAAAATTATATTTTCAAGTGTGTGATGGTTGGGGGAAAAATTTAAAATTAAATCAATTTTTAATTAAAAGTAGTAAATGAATTGAGTATATTTAATAATTTTCAAGTGAAACTTTGAACCGTATGGGTAGTGCATAATGAGGAGTTGAAAACGTTTTTAGAAGGAAAAAAGCGAAATTACGTGCTTTATTTGGAGTTTGTTTTCAAAATTTGTAAATGCACTTATTTAATTAAATTTTGCTCTTCTACATGTGAAGTGGAGCCCAAGAATGTATAAAAGAATAATATTGCTGAAGTTGTGCAATAGAGTATTGTTACTGTATGAAGATACACAAACCAACTTACTTTCAAATATATTAGTTTTCTAAATTTCTCCTTCAGGTTACGGTTTAAAAGAACCTATTGGACACCTAGACTTTTATCCAAACGGAGGTGAAATTCAACCTGGCTGTTCAACAGAATTAAGTATTAATGCTCAGAATGCTACTGATGTGCTGAGCTACATGAACAGTGTTGCCATAATAAAAAAATACTCTCACACAAGCGATACACGTTCTACAGGTAAAATATTCGTAATGCTTAATCGGATGTGTAAAATCTTAATTCGCATGAGTAATATTTAAAATTTTGATTTCGTAATACAAAGTTTCTTTATTCCTCTAAGAATATTGAGTAGTTGCATTGTAATGATTTGATAATATCCACAAACAGCAAAGATCCCTTTGAACTGGGAGAGACAGTTAATTTTTAAGTGAGGTAGACCCGTGTTTTACAAATGAAAAACCCAGAGTACCTCCTGCAAGTACATTGTTTCGAGCTGAGAATGAAACTCGGCTCGAACTACTGCATTTCACAGCTTTAATCATTATGTTTAAGCTCATTAATGAAGGGAGAATAGACTAAAATCCAACACGTTTCTCTGTTAGCGGAATTCTCCGATGTTTAGTGCATAATTTATGATTTATTATTTTCCAAAACTTATTTTCACAAAACAAGGAAGAACTGCAATAGCAGTTATGTTGAAAATTAAAAGACCTACGTCTACTACAAATGATAACTAAAATTTAATCTTTGAATTTATTCTCAGTTTGATTAGCTACATGAAGGATAAATCATTTTTAAACAGCTATAAGATTTCAAGTTACAATTTCCTGCGTATGTTAATTAATTAAATTTTCAAACATTTAGGAGCGTGTTTTAAGCTGAGGCTGTAAATGATCGGCTTCGAGTATCAAAATCTTTTCTAACACTCTGACTTTTAACTATCACCTACTAATTTAAATAACTGCTAATAAGTTTCTACTTCAGCTGCTATTTGAAGCATTTTTATGCATTACTGAAACTATCGCCCTATTCTATGACCTCATGTGAGTTAAATTTGAAAACTAAAGCTAGCTGAGAATACAATATTCTTTAACCCTTTTAGCGACAATATATCGTCTTTTGAATTTTGTAAATATCGTTCTTAATTCGGCTTTTATGAGCTTTTTCCCCAAACATTCTGTAAAATACATTTAGAGTCAATCAATGGAAAGAAAGGAATGAGAATTAAATACTTACAATCTTTTAAAATAAAATTGCGCTTCTTGATGTATTGAGAGGATATTAAGTTTGGCTTGTAATGTTAGGTGAAAAACCTCTGTTAGTATCAGCTGCTTTTATCTAATTTAGGACTTGATCAAGAGCCAGTTTGGAAAAGCAAACTTAAAGGGCTCGGGAAACGAGAAAATGAAATGAAGCTAATTTCTGTTTAATCGAATGACATGATTAAAACTGGGATGGAAGGCAAAAGATAAAAGTTTATTGTAAACAATAGCGCTGAAGTTCCATATATTGCGTGTGACCAAGATATCGAGAAACAGAAGAGAAATGGATGTCTTAGGTAATAGCACCGTACAGAAAAATACACTGCCATAAACGCCGTCTCATATTAATGATCACTTTCACTACCTACAATGACTAGAAAGAATCCAATTGATGAAGTAAAAGAAAAGACATTAGATATATCTGGAAGAGTTTGCTCAGCTATTTAAAGAAGCATAAATCAGTGATTTTATAGGAAACTTTGGTTAGCGAAAAGCTGTTTTAATGTTAAAGTTTTGATACCAGTTTGCAGCAAAATGTTTTTATTTAAATTACGAAAAACATTTTGATGTTTAACAAGGAAGATATGTTATGCAGTATATACATTCTTTTTAAAGGTAGTCTGTATATCTAGTACTTCACAATTTATCTACGAATACTTATTGAGTAAAATATTTGCAGAAAGTTTCTAAACAGTGGTAATTTAATGCCAGAATAAATGAATTAATGAAAAAAAAACCTTCCTCCCCCTCAAAAAAAATGAAAGGGAGGAAAAAGAAGATACGGAAACTTTATTATTAACCTCATAACTTTTAACATAATAATTTTGGATAGATTGAAATAGCAGGCAACACATAGAAGCAGAGTGATAACTTTCACTCTATGTGATGGCTTGATGAATCTTAGAATCAACAGAAACATACACTTTCTGTACCCAATATCATTGTCGATGAATCGCAATAACATCGCATCTGTTATAGATGTACTTTTTTTATATCGTTTTCATGTTTGTTTAATTACAAATAAACATTCACAAATTTGTATTTTTAGTAATATGTTACAGTTTAATTGCCATTAACATTACGCATCAGTATTTATAATAGAAATTTTTAGTTACTGTTGATAATAATGATACTAGAGCCAAGTAAAAATGAAATGTTACTCATACGCATGGAATAGTGAAATGGTATAATACATTCTCTATGAACAAACAGGTTTTATGTTGTTAAACAACTGAATATTATTTAAACTTTTTCATGTTTGTTTCTTTTCAGTTGTTGAAAATATATCAGATCTGTCCTGCAGCCATGCCAGAGCTTACGAGTACTTCATTGCCAGTTTAGATGAAACAAACTGCAAATTTGTATCCTTGACCTGCTACAGTTGGAATGGGTATTATAACGGTGGCTGTGCTTCATGCGATACCAGCTCATGTATAAGGATGGGATTTTATTCAGACGTAGATGGACGTGCAATAAAAAGTGAAACGTCTCTTAAACTTTATGTGACTACCAAAAGCTCCCCTAATTTTTGCTACGTAAATCTGTTGAAAGAGCTTTCAGATAAATCAGTTCTTAACAAATACAGGATTGAACATTTGAATAAAAGATTTGAATAAAAGATTAATACAATTTTTCATTTTTATTTCTAGTAGGTGTATACGGAAGAAATCAAGCGACACACCGAAAATGAAAACATCAACTTTGCGGCAAGCCTCAATGAATATTATCACACAATTATCACTAGAAGATACATAGAAGAAATTATCCTTCATCTTCCAGTATAAAAATCAATATTTCACTAACATCAGAAGTATTTACAGTTTTATAATTTATATTAATCCTGCATAAAATCTAGATAGCTAACCAGATAAACTAAATCCAAATACGCACCTTCACGTCATATTAGAAAATTCACAAACTCTTCAGTTCATCGTAATTCCAATTGGCAACACTTTTTCTTCCTTAATAATAGCAACATTTAATATTACTAAAATTTAGCCCTTAATAATAATTTCATTTATTTTTTATTACTTAGTACCGCCTTCCTGGATTGCCTTCGTGGTGTAGTGGTTCTGCACGCTGGGTCGGTATTCCAGAGATCCGTGTTTCGATTCCCGGCGAAGGCGTTGCTAATTTTTTATCTCGCCTGCTTCAAAAAAATACCTAATGTCTCTACAATGTAACAAGCAATAGATGGAAACAGAACATAAAATTCGCATTTACTAATTTTGGATTTTATTATGAAATTCTTTTATGAGAAAAACAGCTGAAGCTCAAGGTTGCTGAATCTTCTCTTTTTTCATAAGCACAAGTCATTATCGCAAAAGAACAAGTTATGATAATAAGACTTGAAATTTCCATAATCGGTAAGAAAGTGGATTAACAGAAATCAAGTGCTGGAAGTTTGAAGTGAAGGTTTGGTTTTATCAGGTAAAATTAGGCAATTCGTTTTCTTTGTATATTTTTGCCAGTTCACTCTTTCATTCTTCCACTTTTCGATGGCCAACGTGAATGAGAAAATAGACTAAATGTATTAATTAGTGATAGTGTGAAATTATTCTGCAAAATGACAGAATGCTAACAAACACAGTTCATTGTATTATACCCAGATATAGTAGGTCTAAAATAGTAGATCTGAAATGCTAAGAAAACTCAAAAAGTGTTTATCGGATTATCAGTGCAAAAATATTTTCCCCTGCAATTTACAGTTTCATCAACAATGAGTGCACTGTCTGATAATAAAATGCAACTGGTAGATAAATATTTGAATCGACGGAAGAATGATTATATGACAGATATCTCTTTTCATTTACTTCAAAGAACAGGCTGCATTTTTAGACGACTTCATGTACTTTGTACATATCCTGTCTGCGAGCACTGACAGGGCTCGTATCATATTTAGAGTTGATGAAAATAATGCTTCAAAAAGATGATAAGGAAAGTTCCTATTACAATATGTTAATTATCTATCACTGAGTGAAAAAGTCTGTTGACAGTTACGTTTGGATAAAAGTATTGCCCTCTAGTCTAGCGTCTCTAAAAACCAGATACTTCATTAAGTTTTACTTTTTTCTACCAGATGAACAGAATTTATTCTTCAGTCAGAGACTCCATAGTCTCCTATGAGCTATCTTCTGCTCTAAAGGTCTGATGTGATTAGTTATATAGTCTTGAGTTTACCAAGAGAGATTTTCAAGTTATTTTCTGGAAGACCAGGAATGAAACATTTGGACATTTTTGGCGCAACAGTTTCCAAATTTCCATGGAGCTACCGAACACAGCAAACATTATGTCATTAGCATAAGCTTAAATGCTGATGTTCAAATTGCTGGTAAAAGATTCAATGCAGTGTTGGATTTCATGTCCCAGCCAGAAGCATGGGATATTTGTGAAGATTCTTCCTCACACAAGAAGAGGCTTTGACGCTCATAGTTTATTTATTCCTAATTTGGCAAGATCAGCGATGCTTGGAGCTTTCGAATTGAACTATGTGTGTTATGCCGTGGAAGAAAATGTTCGATTTTTGGTGTTTGCTTTAGGTAATTGTACTCGATATTTTGATAATTTTCATTGGATTCGCAAACTGAGTAATCCGTAGATTGATTTATGTGTGTCTTGCTCATTAAAAAGTAGACTAAGTTCACTGGATGTTCTGAGTTTTTTTTTAAATTAGAATTAGAAGAATGTACAATCACCAGTCTTTAGATAATGTTTCTGAGAATTAGCAAGATGAACAATATAAGGCAAGGGGCATCTGCCGGGAAAGACAAACTACTTTTGATTTGCAATTTTGACGTATTTCCCGTGTTTTGAACTATTAAGTATTTTTTAAAACAGAACTTTAGTGTTTGAAATTCGAACTGATACTATTCTTTCTCCGCATTTGATTAATTAAAATTTGATCCTCTTTACTTTGCGTACACGAAAAAGCTGGTAAGTTTCATTTTTATTGTCCAAGACGAAAGTTGATAAATTAAAAACGAAGAAACCTCGGCTTAAAAGGGCATAATAATCAAGCTTATTAAAAACATTGATGATAATATAAGTAAAAATGATTCTAAAGTTTTGAAAATACTTTTATCATAATTAATTGAAAAAAATTAATGACATAACATTGATAAATGATGAAATACGTAACTTAACTGATGAGAAGAATGCTGAAAAGGAAATAATTGAAGTGAAGGATATTTAAATAATTTAATATAGATATAAATTAAATGAAAACAAAATTGAATAATTAAATTTTTTAGTGAACTGCATTTTCAATGAGAATTATTTTATGAACAACCATGTTTTAAACCCTATCTGTTCCCTTTCTCAAGATCTTCTAAATTGTCCAAATTAACTGCAAAAAAACGTTTTGGCGATTCTTTTCAGTAACTAGAATTCATTGTGTAATTTAAAATCTCTATTGATAAAAGTAAAGTGAAGTTGAAAAACTGGTGGTTTACGAAATTTTCTTGGAAGATCTGCTGCATAAGTTATTTCCGGCTTAGCATTAAAAGGAGAAAATTATGACTTAGCATTAAAAATGTTACAAACTAGGTATGAACATAATAATATCCTGATTAATTCTGATTTCGCAATGTTATTACGTATAAACGCAGTCAAGAGTGGCAACAACATTCTTGGTTTAAGAAAACTGTATGATCTTGCAGCGATACAGATTAGTAATTTAGAAGCGCTGCGAATAGATTCAAATTCGTGTGGAAACCTACTTGCGCCAGGTCTCCTAAAAATTAAACCAGCAGATTTAGCAGCACATTAAGCATTTAGTAGATTAAATTAGTCTCAAAATTGGGATCTAAAGGGCTCACTGGACTTTTTAAGAGATGGAATAATTAATAAAGAATGAGTGATATCTGTCCAATAAAGAAAATAAATTAATTAGAAATGATTAAATAAATAATTAGAAATGATACCGAAAATCGCTTACCCCGATATCAAAACTCTGAAAAAACAAAACAACACAACTAACGTAGCAAACATAGCACTCAAGAGTTGCTAATTGGCATCGAAGCAATTTGAAATGCGTACTTTGTCAACAAAAACATAATTCAGAAAGATGTGTGAGTGTTATTTTCGATAATGAAACACATTTATTAAAGGAGGATGGCAGATATTTTCTTTGTTTTAAAAGCATAGAGTTAATGACTGAAACCTGAAAGAAAGGGTTTTCGTTTGGGGTTACAAATACTCGAAAGCAATTTGTTTTGGATTCTATAAAAGGATAGTTTCGGTTTGAATAATAACACTATTAGTGAAAAACGATGATGGCAACTTCTGGTAAGAAAAAAATGCGCATATAAATCTAATAAAAAATGTCTTCAAATATCTTCGGCACCATTCGTAACAGTGAGAAAGTTAGATTGCTGTAGATAATGATTCGAGTCATAGTTTTATCTGTAAAGATGTTTAAAAGTACTAAAGCTCAAACTTCTTCGAAAAGAAGTACTTCGGTAAATTCCTTCGGCGATAAGCTTTTGATATACGGAAAATTGCTTATAAAACATTTTTATGACTTTGCTCAGATTTTGCAGTGATTAACTTTGTCCGAAATATAAAAAACTAATTGACGATTATTTAGTCCAAAACATTATTGAACCTGTTTGTGAGGACATCACTGAAGAAATTAATTTCACCCATATTTTATTCTGATATAACAATCTGTAAAAAAACTTTAAAATTTCTTAATTTTTGAAATTCAAAGAATTATTCCTGAAACACCAAATTTTGCAGCCATCTTAAAGATATATTCTTAACTGGAAATTATTCTTGATTCACTCAATCTGAATTTGAAATTAATGAATTTCCCTCTCTTAAACAGACAACTGAAAATAGTCCGCAGCAGTAATACCAAAGAATTCAAAAGCCACATATTTGAAAAATTCTTAGAAAACGGAGGGCATTAAATGCCATTTTTCAGACGAGTATAAAGCGCAACAGAAAGAAGTTGCAGAGCATGCTAATCGTACTCTAGTAGAAATGGCCAGATGTACGCTTTTCAAATCAAATTTTCAAGAATAATGAGCAGAAATGGTACCGACAGCAGCTTCGCTAAGCAATAGATGCCCTACTAAAAACAGATCCAAAACGCCTGAAGAAAGTTTGGCCTAAACGATAGCTGGCAGAATCGCATTTCAGAATCATGGGAAGTAAGGACAAGCGGATGTTGAAGAAAACGTAATTCAAGTTCAAAGTTTAGAAAGAGGACCAAGAAGATCTATATTTCAGACAAAAGGAAAAGCAGGCAGATCAAGAAAATTCTATGCGCAAAACACGTTAATTTGGTAAAATCTGAAGTTTTTGAGTATTCGGAAACTGTAGAATAAGCTTTATCCAGACCTGCAGAACAATGAAGAGCAGCTAAGCAAGATTCCTTAATGAGGAACAATACGTGGGGATTTACCAATATAACCAGATAATCGAAAAGCCCATCACTGCGAAAGGCGGATGGCACAGTCGCCAGAGGATATCGTCAATGAAGCTCGCAAAAATATGGAACAGACTGTACCGAAGCGTTTTTGCCTGCCGGTTTCGCCTGTAGTTCGTTATAACTCTATATGCACATTGCTCGCTTTAGCTGATGAATACGATCTGAATATATATCAAAGGAATACAGCTTGTAAGGATCCTAAGTTTTATTAAAATTTATTTTATTTTAAAACTGTACTATCATTTCTTATTTTCCTACTTGCCGGCCAGAGTTAAATCCGTTAACTTTCAAACTAACTTTATTCAAATTGTACTTGCTAACGCCTAAGTGCTTTAAGTTGTGGCTTTTTGTCCGAAGAGTTAGAAAGAGAGAGAGTTAGAGAGGAAGCAAGCCGCCCTGTCACTGCTGTAGTTCTTACGAGTTTTCACTCTGTTGCTGGTTGCCTTTAAGGACCAGAGGTTTAGCCCTCTTGATATTTGCAAAACGTATTGTAGTTTTAGCAGCTCTTGGCGTACTACATTACGTAACCTTTCTTTAAATAAAGGCCAATCTTAGTGCTTAGGCATTTGTATACTAATTCCAAAGTTAGCTTTTTAGTTAGAGTTTTAGTTAGTAGTTTTTTATATTCTTACGTTCAGACCACAAGTGGTTGGTCTCTGTATTCCGAAGTTTCGGAAATACCTGTAAAGTATTGAAAATAAAGGCTTTCGTATACCCTTCCTGCTTATGTTGTCTATTTCACACCTTCCTGAAAATAGCTTTAGTAAGCTCCCTGTTCCTATTCAGGACCATTCATGTTTCCAAAGCAAATCAAGAGAAATACAAGACCTGATAGTGGCGCCCGAAGAAGAAGAATAACCATGGCCGAGTTTCAAAAAGAACCTGAGCAGCAGCGGCTCAGAATCCAGAAATGCCAGCTGCCGCCTTGGAAGGATTTGGTTACGTCGTCCAGACCATGCGCGCATCGATGAAACCAGCAGCAACCTTTGATGGAAACTCACCGGTGACCAGTTTTTTTTAAATTGGATAACCACTTCATGCTATATCCAGTCCATGAGTTCCAGAAAGTCACCTTAGCTACCAGCGCTTTGAGGGGCCAAGCGCTTAATTCGTTCAAATGCATTGGAAGAAAATCTCTTGGGTCCAAGCTGGGAAGTCCCGCCTATACTTATCGAAAATTTCAAGACCGCCTTAATAAAAGGACTTCCCTGTCGTAAAAAATCGTGCCAAATTGGAAGGCGGAACTCTTCAGCACATATCCAGCAAAGAATTGAAAATCTCTTCAAGCTTTATTTAAAGAAAATACACGTCTTTATAACTTTTGTATGGAAGCCGGCTGGAATCCTGAAATAAAATCCAAGTAATTGTTGCCTAGGTTACTTTCCCCAAGTACAAGACTTTATTGAATTCAGGAACACGATGACATTGGAAAAGTTATTTGAGCTCGCAATCCAGTTTGAAATTAGAAGAACGGCGGACATTGAAAGAAGACGCCAGTACGAGCAACGAAGCCAATTTGGTGCAAAGGCAAGAGCACGGCTACGGAAGCAAGTCGAATCAGTGGTCAAGGAAACCCGGGTATCCAAAAACAACCGGCGAACGTCGACAGTTCAATAATAAGCAAAAAAAAAAAAAAAGTCTGAAGGCCAGCGGAAAAAGAAGGAAGGCATGGAAAAGAAGAACGAAGATTTAAACTAAAACGGATTTCTGCTGACGGGAGGGTGCGGAAATCCGAAGTCCAAGAAAATGCCTCTTCCTTCAAGCTAAATACAGTTATTGTGAAAATTTGATTCTTCCAAAGATTGAAGTTTGGTCAACAATATTTCAGCCACCGCACTCCTGGATACAGGCGCGCAGTGTTCCTGAGTGGCAGAAGTTTTTTTTCGGAAATACTTCCGTAAGTATAGGATATATAATTCGGATTAGCTGCGCAGGGGGAAAGATGCAAATGCATAGGTAAAGTACCAATCTGTATTCGTAACAAGGACAAGCAGGTAAACATAATGTTTTTTATTGTAAAAAATCTACAAGCACATGTAATTTTAGGGATAGATTTGCTTTCAGAAGCAGAAGCAACGCTGGATTTTAACAAAGCGTCCCTTAAGCTGACCATGAAACCAGTTCTCGAAGAAAAAAGAGAACCACCCACATTAAATCTCAACCACCTGCCTACGGGAGAGCAAAAAAAAATTCGCCAAGTGGGAAGTGAATTTACTTCGTCATTTAGTGATATTCCCGGATTTACTCAAGTGACGAAACATGAAATCGATACAGGAGATTCACTGCCAGTTCGCCACAAGCCATATCGGTACGATAAGACTAAAGAAACAAATATAGAGTGGCACATTCGAGATACGTTACGTAAAAAGATCATAACGCCCATCTCATGTAGTTATGCCAGCCCGGTTGTGTTATGTAAGAAAAATAACGATTATCCAGTAACACATCCGAAAAGGTGGCGTTTTGCAATTGACTATAGTAAACTTAATCTCCATGACTAAATATCCGGTATACCCGTTACCTATTATTGAAGAAATTCTTAAGGAACATAACTTCTACGAAATACATGACTACGTTAGACCTAACGACGGGTTATTTTCAAATAGGTGTAAAACCAGAAGATGTGCCTAAGACTGCTTTTATAACCAAGTCTGGCACTTATGCATTCTTGCGTATAACTTTTGGCCTTTCAGGGGCACTGGCAACATTTCAGCGATGTATGGACATTGTGCTAAGGCCTGTTCTAGGAAAGACCACATTTATATATTTAGACGATATCATTATTACTAGTGATAATTTGAATCAACATATAAAAGATTTGAGAGAGGTGTTTTCATTATTAAATGAGGCCGGTCTAAAAGTCAATGCTGAAAAATGTAAATTTGCATCCCCTGAATTAAAATACTTAGGATACAAAATATCTCAGAAAAGAATCGAGACAGACGAATCAAAAATAACCGCTATTCAAAGGTATCCGCCGCCAAATACGGTGAAAGAGGTTGTCTTCTTTTCTAGGACTTTGTTCATATTATAGGTCCTTTATAAAAGACTTTGCAGCTATTGCTGAACCATTGTTAAAATTAAAAAGGAAAAAGGCAAGATTCTCGTGGACGGACGAAGACAATAGTGCGTTTGAAATATTAAAACAAGCGTTAACGCAAGCCCCTGTTTTGAAATTTCCTGAGAACGATGAGAATTTAGAAATTTCAGCGGATGCTTCGGATTATATGCGGTAGGAGCAGTACTATTCCCAAAATCAGCAGCGCGTGGCATTTTTTAGTAGAAATTTAAACGAAACTCAAAGAAAATATTCCGCGACTGAGAGAGAGGCACTTGCAGTTAGTTCTGTTAGGAGTGCAAAAGTTCCGAGTCTATTTTGGAAGTGTATCAGTAACAGTGTATTCTGATCATGCGGCGGTAACTAGATTATACTCAGGAAAAAATTTATCCCCAAGGTTAATAAGATGGGCACTCAAGTTACAGGAGTATAATTTGGTAATCAAACACACCCCCGGAAAAGGAAAATATCGTAGCAGACGCCCTATCCAGAATAAAAATAGATGAAGAAGGTAATACTGTAAAGGTGGCAAAATTCACAGCGTATACGATACATTCTCGAGAAACTGTAATAACCGAACTGGGTAAGGATCCGGAATTTAAAAATATTTATGAGTATTTAAAGGATCCTGAATATTTTAGCCACCAAGATATTGTGGCGATAAGAAATATGGCGGTCCATTACGAACTAATAGGTGGTCTATTATTTTATACAAAAACTACGAATTCCAACAACGAATTTCGACCTGTTATCCCAGCTAGTCTTAGATTAAATATACTGCAGGAGCTGCACGACTCGCCTCTGGCCTCTCATGGTAGTATTCGAAAAATCATCCAACGCGCACGCGAAGCAGTTTATTTTCCTGAGCTGCAAAAGTTAACAAGAGCGTATGTCCAGTCTTGCCCAACATGTCAAGCAGTTAATTACGTTAATTTCCGCCCTTCCGGGTTTCTAAATAGCATTAAATCAGAATTTCCAAATGAAATAATTGGCATCGATTTATTAGGCCCTTTCCCGAAAAGTCAGTTTAATAAAAGTCGGTATCTCCTTGTATTGGTTGATCATTTTAGTAAGTGGACCGAAATCGTTCCCTTAAAACGAGCCTCCGCGAAATTAGTTACTGATTCTATTTTAAATAAATATATTTTAAAATACGGGATCCCCTAAAAGTTATATCAGAACTGCAAAGTTCCTCAATTTGTAAATAATATACTTGAAGACATGTGCCAAAAACTGGGCATACGTCATTTAAAAATGGTCCCGTATCGGCCGCAATCAAATATAGCGGAACGGGTCAATAGAAATATAGTGAAAATTATTCGTAGTTATGTTAAAAATTTTCATAAAAGCTGGGATAACTATGTCAATGAATTAGCTTTCGCCCTTAGGACCGCCAAACATGACACGACGGGCAAAACTCCTGCTGAGTTATTTTTAGGCAGAAAGTTTATAACATCGTTAGATAAGTTATTTTATGTTCAACTAAGAGCCCCGGAATTTCAAATGGGCGATATAGAAAAATTAATTAAAGAAGCAAAGAAGAACACTGAAGTAGCACAAAGAAAACAGAAGCTGTATTATGGCATGAAACGACGGGGAGTAACTTATAAAGTAGGGGATGAAGTGTTAAAAATTAAGCATTCACTTTCTTCAGCACCAGAAGTAACTGCAAAGTTCTATCCATGATTTGAAGGACGATATGTAATAGAAAAAGTAACTCAGGCTGGAGTGGTGTTAAAAGCCAAGAATGGTGAAGTCTGCACCGCAAACATTGACCAGATAAAACCATTCTATTAATCGTAATAAAATGCAAATATTTCAAGATCTCTTGCAGGATCCGGCACGGCAGGCACAATCTCTAGAAGTGGCACAACGACAATCACAAGGGCAAGCCATGAGTAGACAGGTGTATATGAAAATAAAGCTTTCCCGTTGGAAAACTGAAGGTAACAAGAAAAAGAAGCCGTTCCATCGACCAGAAAAGAGAGGGCACGACCACGCCCCAGCACATGAAGAAGGGAAAAGTTCTACTAATGCAAAGAGAGCCAGGAGAAATGGCAGCAACCATAACACGGCTCCAAAAAAACGAAAGATGTACCCATCGGATAGGAGTCTACGCAGCAAATGTCGACGAATCGACGAAGGAAAAACCAGCTGCAGATGCAAGGAAGCAACAAACGTTTGAACAGCCAGCAACTAGATCCAGGCAACAACGGGAGAGAGAGTTGTCCCGAATTCCGCCAAGAACAGCTGTCCATCAAGCGTCCGGGAGTACAATCAGAAGTTAAGAAGAAGTTCTTCAAGGGTCATCCGAAGCATGCAAAAAAAAAAAAAAAAAAAAAGAAAAGAAAAGAAAAAGAAAACGCACTGATGAAGGAACCGAAGTGCGAACCTGTGCACAAGACGGAGGATAAACCAGACGGTAGTCTTCGTTACTTTCCAGGACTGAGGTGCAAAAACGGATGTCTGAATATCACAAAGATAAGTAAAACTTTATGTTACTTTGAAACTTTAAGTTAATTTTCCGTTTTTACTGCAAGTGGCAGAATTTAAGAAGTTTTACCTCATATGAGGCCTACCTTTATCGCCAAAAAGGCGAGAAATGAGTTTTACCTATTTTTTTGCTATGTTTTTCAATTACTCGCGAGTAAAACTAAAATGATTGTATAATAGGAATGTGTAAATACTTGAATATTGTAAAAGCATTGGTAATTTTTGAGAAAGGTACCTTAAGAAAATTGTAAAGTTATTGTATAAAATTTTATTTAAATGTTTCTGTCAAGAAAAGAAGTTTTAGTCTGAAAGACTTTTGAAACGTAGTATTTAAATGTAGAAGAATTAACACTTGCTTGGAAAGAAATAGAAATTAACAAACATTGTACTACTAATGTATGTTTTAAAATGCGTAAAATTAACGCCATGTTAATATGTTCTTATGTACTATGTGAACTGTTACCTTAAAAGTTAAGAAATACTGTGATATGTTAAAAGTGAAAATTTTATAGTAGTGCCAAAATTTTTAACTTATTAGTATGACTGTAAAAAGAGCAAAATAGTGTGAATATGTGCTAAAGGTTGAATGAATGTAGTTAGGCTCTCTGACGCTACACTTCAGAGTTAGCCACTTTTGAGAATAGTACCTCAGGGTTCAGAGATGAATATAAGGTGTGTTCTGAGGTCTTGTTATGTTAAATTTTAACACGTTAGTGTTTTGATTCCAGGTGGTAGTGTTGAATACTTGTACATAGACACGCACGTGTTTGGTGTTTCTTTTTACAACACATGTCAGAGAGCACGGGGAGATAATTAAATAACAACATGAATGAAATAAGAATAGTTCTAAAAGAAAAAAATATACGTATTCATGTTACTTGCCATTTGATTATTTAACATTTCATTAAATTAGTTTTCCTTCCAGATCTCTGGAAGGAACCAGTTCAAATAAGAAAAGCTCCTGTTTATAGATGCAGTACAGATGAAAAGTAATTGTCCATGGAATTGATCATGTAAAAACGACTTTTTAATTTCTAGATTAGATAGTTTCTAGTGAGGAATGTTTGTTAAAGTATGGCCTCGCTTTAGATTTAGAATCTAGAGCTAAAATTTTCAACAAGGTCGTTTTAGACCTCAGTTTCAAATTAATTAACTGAGGCGGGAGTATGTAAGAATCCTAAGTTTTACTAACGTTTATTTTATTTTAAAACTTATCTCTTCTTATGTTCTTTTCAGGCCAGAATTAAATGCTTTAACTTGTTTATGCAAACTGTCTTGCTAACGCTAAGTACTTAAGTTGTGGCTTTTTGCCAAGAGAGAGAGAGGAAGGAGTTATAGGAAGCAAGCCGCTTGCCACTGTAGTTTTACGAGTTTTCACTCTGTTGCTGGTTGCCTTCAAGGCCAGAGGTTTAGCCCTCTTGTTATTTGCAAACGTATAGTAGTTTAAGTAGCTCGGAGTACTACATACGTACATTTCTTTAAATACAGGCCAATCTTAGTGCTAGGCATTTGTATACTAATTCAAAGTTAATTTTTAGTTAGAGTTTTAGTTAGTAGTTTTTATATTCTTCCGGTCAGACCACAAGTGGTTGGTCTCTGTATTTCAAAGTTTCAGAAATACCTGTAAAGTATTGAAAATAAAGGGTTTCGTATACCCTTCCTGCTTATGTTGTCTATTTCACACCCTCCTGAACATAGCTTGAGTTAGCTCTCTGTTCCTATTCAGGACCATTCATGTTTCCAAAGCAAATCAAGAGAAATACAAGTTCTGATAAGCTTATCTGAAGTGAAGAATTGATTAAGAGATCTGTTGTTGTTCGGTAGATAGGGGAGGGCGCGGGACGTATGCCTGTTTACCTCTGTTAAACACCAGGCGTCCCCGTCCTCCGTCACCTGTCACCTGACTAATCTCGCTGGCCTGATATCAAAGCAAGCCCATGATATTCATCGTCTCAAGAAGGCAAGATTGCGCCTGTTGTTGCTAAGAGCTTTGGGTGAGAACATATGCCTCACCCAAGGCACCTTGCGTTGCTAGACAGGTGAGAGTACGTCCTTGCTCAGTTCCGCTCTCAATGTTGAAGGTGAGCACCCCTGAGAAATTAAAAGACTTCATGTCCCAAAAAGAAGGTTTCAGTGCTTTTGAAGACAAAGCTTTCAGATTTCGGAATTACGATGAGAACTCTATACATAAAAATTATCATTTGCGAATGAAAACCGAGAAAATATGTTTAAAATGTGTCTACAAGGAGCTTATTTAAGAACTCTTTATGTGTTTGAAAACAATATTTATGATTATGCTCGTCTGGAAGTAAATAACATTAAAATAGAATGTGATGAAGCAGGCAGACAGAAAAAAAAATTAATACATGGGGACGACAATTCTGCAGTCTTCCAAAAATTCAAAATATGGTGTTAGAGACCATCAAAGGCTTAATTCTTGGAATGTAATTATAAAAAATAAAGGACAAGTTGAATGCACATAATGTACATCTATGTAGTCACTTTCGGTTTTATTTTTTGTATTTTTTACATATAATTTCCTTCCTAATGATGTATCTTTTCGTTAGTAAAAATTATTTTAAAAGGCTGAGAAAGCAAAAATATGATGTTTGAAATATGCCACCAGAAATAAAAAAAATCTGTAACTGTGGAAAGATGTCTCATATTACAACATATTTGTGCTGTGCAAATATACACTTTCACGTGGAAATCAATATCCCGTTTAAGGATTAATCGTATAGCATGAAATGTACATTTTGTAACAGCTACATTGACGAATTCAGTAAATGCATGAGAACTGTAAATAACTGTACTTGTAGTTTGCTGAAAAGGAAATAATGAGAAACTGTTTGAACACTGAGAAAGAAATTTCGATAAAGCAGTGAAATTACTAACATATAAGAAATTATCGCATATTCTCGCTCGAACACTCCTGGTATAAGGAGTATCATATCCATCTAGCAACTGAAAGGCACATGGTTCAAATTTCGCTGAAAACATACGTTATTTTTTATATCTAGCTTCGGAAAAAGAAAATTTAATATGTATATACTTGCGCCCGAACAAAAGAAAACATGTGCGGTGGATGCTAATTCTTCACAACCTGAAACTGGTCGATAGAGTTTCCGCCCAGTACATACCACGTTCATTCAAGTATTAAGAATAAAATACGACATTTCTAGAAATGTGGTATTTACATATAGATCTGGATGCAACACAACTTTTGTATGGCTTGCGAGTGTTACTGTTTGTTTCAGCTTTTGTAGGAAAATTGAAGAATTTTTACTAAAGACAAATTTTATTTGCATTACATCATGCTATTAGTATTTAAAGCTTTCTGGACATAAAATAATTTTTTAAAACCGTATAATTTGCTGAGTTGATTTGTTATAGCTTTAGCACCCGGTTGACTTGAATTATTGTTGTTGATATGAAATAAAATCTTAGTTTGTAACTCATATAAATTGTTACGGAGTTATCACATAATATTAAATGAATTAACATGTATATGAAAGCATGAAATGAAAAAAAGCTAGCAGATTTGAGACATCAATAATAAATAAATATGAAATTATAGGACAATAATATGAAGTAAAAGAATGCTACCATGTATTAAATAAATTTAATATATATATATATATATATATATATATATATAAATTTAATATATATATATATATAAATGCATGAGAACTGTAAATAACTGTACTTGTAGTTTGCTGAAAAGGAAATAATGAGAAACTGTTTGAACACTGAGAAAGAAATTTCGATAAAGCAGCGAAATTACTAATATATAAGAAATTATCGCATATTCTCGCTCGAACACTCCTGGTATAAGGAGTATCATATCCATCTAGCAACTGAAAGGCACATGGTTCAAATTTCGCTGAAAACATACGTTATTTTTTATATCTAGCTTCGGAAAAAGAAAATTTAATATGTATATACTTGCGCCCGAACAAAAGAAAAAACATGTGCGGTGGATTGCTAATTCTTCACAACCTGAAACTGGTCGATAGAGTTTCCGCCCAGTACATACCACGTTCATTCAAGTATTAAGAATAAAATACGACATTTCTAGAAATGTGGTATTTACATATAGATCTGGATGCAACACAACTTTTGTATGGCTTGCGAGTGTTACTGTTTGTTTCAGCTTTTGTAGGAAAATTGAAGAATTTTTACTAAAGACAAATTTTATTTGCATTACATCATGCTATTAGTATTTAAAGCTTTCTGGACATAAAATAATTTTTTAAAACCGTTATAATTTGCTGAGTTGATTTGTTATAGCTTTAGCACCCGGTTGACTTGAATTATTGTTGTTGATATGAAATAAAATCTTAGTTTGTAACTCATATAAATTGTTACGGAGTTATCACATAATATTAAATGAATTAACATGTATATGAAAGCATGAAATGAAAAAAAGCTAGCAGATTTGAGACATCAA